CCCCTTTATACTCGGCAGAAATCTAACCTTGGGGGGGTCATAAACCTCAGTTCCTCTCTGGTGGTTGTGGTTAATGTAACTCTAACCCTGTGGTACCAAAGCCCTGGGCAAATGGTCTTGCAAGAGCTAAACATGTAGTGATATCCCCAGGGCTCAACACAACTGATTCTGGTTCACATCTCTATGGATCCTTCTCTTCCTTCTCAGTCCAGCCTTCCCCACCACGCTGGTGGGGACAAATTGGTCATTCCACCATCAGCCCTTAGCATGCCTCTTTCTAAACATGCCTTTCTGACTTGTAGACTCTGGATGAACCAAATTCAGGCTGGGGGTCAGCAGGTGCAACTCTGTTTTGAGGTCCAAGTCCTACTGCTCACTCTGGGCTTGAATTTGGCCCTTGAATTCCAGTTTCAATTGCGAATGCCGGGGCGGTTGGGGGGAGGGGGGAGGTTCAACAAAAAACGGCCCACAAACCCAGCAGCATCTCAGGATTGGTTTGGAGCATTAAAACGAAGGCACTGATCCGAGTTGCTGGGGAGAGGTGAGAATCCCTCCTCCAGGTGTGTTTGACAAAGGCTCGCTCTGAGAAGAAACTCAATAGACCTGCTTTGGAAAGTTGTGAATGTGAGGGCTGCTCTTGTGGCAGGAGGGGGGAGGGACTATCCAGACTTTCCCACCGAGCTCGGGAAAGTCAGTGTTGCAAGACTTCTTGTGATAGGTGTGCAACCACGTACCTCATGACGTGGCTCCCATGAGAATTCGTGCCAGACGCAGACTTGTGCCAGAGCACAGCTCTGGAGCGGTTCAATCCAGCACCGCAGGATGGAGGAGTGGAGAGGAGGCCAGGGAAGAGAGCACAGGGAGGAAGAAGGATCAGCAAACAGCGGCGTGGTCTGTCGGGGAGGGGGCTGTGCAGCTACTGATCCAGGACTTGGGATCCCACGTAGTGTTTTAACAAAGTCAGCCATTTGTTGAATTCTGGGGTGCCGATCCTGTTGCGGGGGGGTGGGGGGTTCGTCTTGTGGGTTCTTTCATCAGATCCCTCGATGGCTTTATAGCCCCACAATTCACAGTTGCCTCCTCTACTTGTTCTGTGTGTAACTTCATCAAGTGGTTCTGGTGACACTCAAACCTAGAAGCTGGAGATAGTGTTTTCCCACCAGCACCTAAACACAGAATTTCCTTCTGCGGCATTGTTGAAATAGTTAATTTTTTATAAGGTTGCAATGTTTCTATTTGAAACATCTGTTTACATTCCATATTCCAATAAAGTTCTATTGGCATCGATAGCAGGTCAATCCATTTGTATAATTCACTGAAACCAATAAATATCTATACGTCTGAACGTCTGCCGTCTCAAATCTATGGGATAGCCAGAAAGAGTGAGAGCTGAAGGCACTGCCTCCTCGAGGAGGTCAGGTTGGCTCTTCCAGACCCTCCTGTCTGAGTATTTTGGGATCTCTTAGTCTTTGGTTGCAGCTCTTCATGCTGTCAGCCCTGAGAGTTTCACTGTGGCAGATTTGTCTCCGCTTCCACGGGGCTGCAGAGGAGGTGCAAGGTTTTGGGTACGGCGTGGGAGTCAGCTGTCGTGGTACATTGCGCTCGGCCAGCCGGTGCCCGGGGTAGCGGACTCAGTCTGCCTGTTACATGGCTGATCAGACCAGAAGTCACCAATGCATGGCTGGAAGTTGGGGGTTCTCCGCGTGCGTGCCCCCCATGCTTGTCTCCTCTCAGCCTGGGTGGATGGCTTTTTCTAAAGATGTGCTGAGCAGGGAGTAGCTCTTCTTTCCTCCCACCCTGGGATGCAACCGGTGCATGAGCTCAGTTACCGGTTTCTGGTCTGAGGAGCCGTCTGTGGCGTTGCTGACATGCCACAGGGCCCTCGCTAACATTAACTCTCCTGCAGATGCTGCTGAAGGCTTTGGCGAGTGTTTCCAGCCCCCTGTCCTTCCATCTGCCTGACCTACAGGCTGCCTAGCCTGAGAGGCGTGGGGGTCTCTCGTGCTCTTAAGCTGTGCTAATACCAGCAGGGTTGGTCTGGGGCTTTAACATCAATTTCTGAACTGATTTTAAACATGTATTGAATTGCTCCATTGGGAAGAGGCAGGAGTGGATGTTTCTCATGGCCTGTCCAAGTTGCTATGGAGGAAACTTGCCCATTTTCCAGCTCTTGTGTGTTGGCATTCCCAGCTCCCAGAGAGCCAAGGCGGAAAAGGCGTTGAGGGAGAAGAATGGGTTCAGTGTGGGAATTTTGATAGGTGAAAAATGTTGATCGTTGTATACGAGTGCTTGACAGTGTCCAAACCTGATGGTGGAGTTTCAAGGTGGTGTATGTTTCAGGAAGTATCAGTTCTGTAAACCTTGAGTCAGAAATTCTTTCCTGGTACCCTCAAACAGAGGAAGAGAGATGCTCTTCCCAGCGAGTGAAATGGGTAAATGGATTTCCCTGGTTGCGGTAACCAGAGAGGCTGGAACAACCTGCCCTGTATCTCCCCACATCCCTACCCCAGCTCTAGGGTAGATGAGCTGTGATGGATTCATCCCTGAGGGAAACATGGCAGCTGAGCAAGCGTGGCCTGGGAGCGAGGAGGGTGTGGAGTCTCCTGATCCCAGGGTGGTGTGGATGCCTGGCTGCAGCTCAGGCCAATCCCTCTCTGTGCCATCAGCCCTTCCAGCACTGAGAGCAGGAAACCCTGCTCTCCTCTGGACCTTAGCAAAGCGTCGTCCTGCCTGGAGGGACAGCCGGGAGCTGGAGGAGGCAGTGTCTTGTCCTTAGGAAGGAAGGAGGCTGGGGAACATGCAGCTTCATATGCTTTCTGCTGGAGAAAGTTGGGAGAGTCCTGGAGCACGTCCTGGCCTTTCAGCTGGCCTGGCCCCAGCTTTCTAGCAGAGGTAGAGCGCAGGTTTGGCTGCGTGCCTTGTAAGAGGAAAGGCTCAAAACCAGAACCATGGCAGCCATTGAGGGATGCGGTAGGAGAGGGATGCAGTAAGCAACTTCCCCAGCTTCTCCATGCCTGTTGCAAGTGTGCTGTGGCATGACGGAAGCCTTTAGCGGAACTAGAGGAGATGTTTGAGGCAGCGGAGGGGCACTTAAAGGAGAAAAAAAGTGCAAACTTGCGTCTGGCTGCCCATGAAAGTGCTGCTTTGCCAGACTGGGTCTCTCCTTTGCCTTGCTCGGCCCTGCCTTCCCCTCTCACCCTGCCACCCCTTCTAAAGCAGGCTGAGGATGCCCCGCTGTCCCCACATCCAGAGGGGCGTGGAGGGCGTGGCCGGGCCTGGCTGGGAGCGGGGTGGCAGGATGTGGGGCAGCGTGCCCAGCCACCTCCTCGTCACCTGGGGCCAGAGGAGCTCTGTGTCGAGCTGGCAGTGCCCCGTGACGCTCACTTCCCTCCTCCCATCTCTCCTCAGGTCCGATGCTGTTGCTCCCAATTTTCCATAAGCAGAATGAGAACCAAATCAAACGTCCTATCGGCGCGTGTAGAGTGACGGCGGGCAGACGGCGTGGGCAGGGCTGAGAGCGGGGCAGCACGCCTGGCTGGACGGCACTCGCCTCTTTATGACCGCAGCCCTTCCCTCCGAGTGTTAAAGGTTCTTCTGCCTTTGGTTCCTTGTTGAGCTCTTCCTGACCCAGAAAGCGTGGAAATGTGAAGGGTGTGCAAAGCAGTTGTTGGTTAGTTGTTCCTTCCTCCGTTCTGGCTGTTCCCCCCCAACCTCTGACGGACCACGGTTAGCCAGCTTGTGCTTGTCTCTGCCAGGGCACGGGGGTGGCAGGGAATGTAGTATCACGATGGACAGTTCTATATAATTAAAAGAATTCTATATTGTTGAATAAAAGTTTTAAAAGAAGCATATGAGGAGGAGTATTCAGTGGGGAGAGAGCTGTGGGGCAGGACCGGCCACACTGGAGGACGCTGGCAGTGTGAGCCTTTCCCTGTGCCCTGCTAGGACAGGCTGGGTGAGGAGAGCAGGAGGAACTAGTTGTACAAAATCACCGCGGGCAGAGGCAAAGGAGCCACTTGCCGCCTTTGGAGGTGTCCCTCCTTAGGCCCCCACCCTCTTCTGGAGGTGCCTGCCTGGGTGGTGGCCTGGGTGCTAATGCTGGTACCCGCTTTTCCCAGCCCCTGGGGCTTGGGCATGGCTCTGTCTCTGCACCCCAGGAGCTCCCATCTCTTCCTCTTTCTTGGGCTGAGACTCTCCTCCTCCTCCCCAGCATGATCACTGCAAAGCCCTGAGCTTGGAGCTCCTGCCCGTGGGCCTCTGCATCGCAGGAGTTTCCCTACAGATGTGGTGCTTCACCAGCAGCTCTTGGGAGAGCCTGGCTGCAGCACTGGTGGTTGTCCAAGCTGTGCTCTGGTCTTAGGTGTTAACGGACCACTTGAAACTCTGGTCTAAAAACCCCCAGCTGGACTCCATATGACTGTACACGGTCATTTCTCTTCCGTTGTCCCATTCCTTCACTGCCCATGTGTTTTTCCCTACACAGTCTTCCCCTATACTGAAGCTGCCCAGGCTAAGGGTACCTCTGAGACAAGGCTCTTGACTGGGAAAGATAGACCCGTTGCTGGTTCCCAGGGAGGGGAGCCTGGGCAAGGTGAGCCGTGGGCTCCTGCTGGCACAGAACCACACGGTGCTCACCCAGCCCTGGGCAGTGGCTGAAGTGGAAATGCAGGAGTGAGTCCTCGCA